ATCAGATAGGATTTTTCTCAAACCTAAAATCCTACAAAATAATTGTCCTCATTAGCAGTATTACCCACAACATATTTGCTTGTCTATATCACAATTTGGTTTTTTTTTTCAAATTTCATTTAATGCTTTTGAGTTCTTCTGTTTTCAAAGCATCAGTGTTAACACTTATGAACAAAATAGTAAGAAATAAGCTCTATCTTGATTGTCCTTACAACTAGTAGGGTAAGAACATTAAACAGACATCCATTCTACCATGTACACAAATGCCACTATTCTTTTAAGAATTTTCTTTATATCTCCCCAACTGGATGTAAACTTTCCTTCCTTTAACAGTTTATTTATTCCTTTCTTTGACTTTCAAAGTGAGTCTATAAAAGTAGGTAAAATTTGGAGGAAAGGGTGTAACTAGAAAAAAATACTGCAAGTATATCATGAAGAGAGAATGTAAAGGACCAAAATAGGCTTTGTAGAGACAAACCTAGTTTCAAGTTCTGGATTTCTTTACTATTAGTTAACCGTCTGATCTTACAACTGTCTCCCACTTTATCCAAGCCTCAGTTTACTTCTTTATTAATGTGGGTAACAATGCCTTCTTTGAAACATTGTAAGAATAACATGAGAAATTTCCTATAAAGGATAAGACAGATGCTCAAAAAATTAACTGTTTTCTACAGCAATATAAAAAGGATCTTGGGTTTGCACAGATAATCTAAGAAGAAAGAGTTGAGCAAGCTCAAGTCTGGAAAGAGTTAGAAATGAGAACAGAGGTAAAAGCTAGGTGGCAGATTAAGTTGAAAGGAGGCTGGGGATTCAAAAGTGAAAGCCAGTTGTTAGTGGTAGGTATGGCCAAGGAACTTTCATGAACTTGGATGTCAATGCTCAATTGTATGTTATTTGCTGAACTGTGACAAGGTAAAATACTCTAAATCTTAATCTCCAGATTCTTAAGTAAAGTTTCCAGAGCAAAGTGACTCTCTTTCTCATTTGGGTGAAAACCCAGGAAGAATGGAAAAATATATCTGTATGAGGAGAGACACTAGAAAATTCAAGGAAAGTAAGAAATCAGAGTAAAAGATAGCTAGAGAAAATATAAGTCCTTGAGATGTCATGGTGGAATTTAAAAATGTATCTGACGTGGCATCTGTAACTCAAGTTATTTATCTGTTAAGACCACGATGAGATATCACCTCATACCTGTCAGAAAGGCTATCATCAAAAAGAACAAAAAAACCAAATGTTGGTGAGGATGTGGAAAAAAGGGAACCCTCGCACATTGTTGCTGGGGATGTAAAATGGTGCAGCCCTTGTGGAGAACAGTATGAAGGTTTCTCAATAAACTAAAAATAGAAGTACCATATGACCCAGCAATTTCACTTCCGGGTATATACCCCCAAAAAACCAAAAACACTAATTCAAAGAGATTCATGCACCTCAATGTTCACAGCAGTATTATTTACAATAGCCAAGATATGAAAGTGACCTAAGTGTTTATCAACATACAAATGATAAAGAAGGCGTGGTATGTATATGTGTACACACACACACACACACACACACACACACACACACACAGGAATACTACTAAGCCATTAAATAAAGAACAAAATGTTGCTATTTGCAGCAACAGGGACGGAGTTGGAGGGGATTATGCTAAGTGAAATAAGCCAGACAGAGAAAGACAATTACTATATGACAACACTTATACGTAGAATCTAAAAAAAAATACAACAAGCTAGTGTATATAACAAAAAAGCAGACTCACAGATACAGAGAACAAATTGATGTTTACCAGTAAGAAAAGGGGAGGGGGAAGCAGGAGGGGCAACACAGGAGTGGGGGTGTAAGAGGTACAAAGCATTAGGTATAAAATGGGCTACAAGGATCTACTGTACAGCATGAGGAATGGAGACAATATTTTATCATAACTATAAATGGAGTATAACCTTTAAAATTGTGACTCACTATACTGTACACCTGTAACTTATATAATATTGTATAGCAACTATATGTCTATAAAAAAAAAGAGCAGTGAGATGAAATAGTCTGAAAAAGTTGGGACACCCAAGAAGGAGACATACAGTAGCTGGATGGGGCTATCATGGAAGAGGTGACAACAACTAGGAGACTGAAATGCCTGAATGAAAAAACTGTTAAGACTTGAGAAGTAACTAACTTTTTTTTGTTTTTTTATCCCCCTAAGCAGGATGGTGAACATGCTGAGTGGATGTGGTGGAGAGCCAGAGGAGAAGAGACCGATTTGGATTTATTACAATAATTGACAGAAAACTTAACAAGGGCCAAAGCATGAGGATGTGCATAAGGGGAGAAATCCAAGCTGTAATACAGAAGCAAAAATCTCCAATTTCCAGCAAACTATGGAATGTGAGATAGCAAGCTATGTCACCAGAAATGAGACTAGGAATTCAAGATGAGATGTCTGGAATGATGCCATGTGCACTAATCAAAAACAAGCGTACGAGAAGAGAGTGCCTGGTGGAAGATACATTTCTGACACTGTCATATACAGGTTTGTTCTCTCTAACCAGACTGGGAGAATGTTTGGTGCAAGGACCAGCACAGTACTCCACATAAATGTTTCTTAATGACAGTTGTCTATTGTGGGTACTCTCCATGGTCTCTTTTCCTTAGAAATAGAACCCATAATTTTTAGTTGGGCACATGGCTGCCTAGAAGAAACTACATTTTCCAGTCTCTACGGCAACTAGATAAAGCCTTGGAACTATAAACAGGACAACTGGACGAGGAAGAATCTTTAATGAAACAGGATGTACCCTTTTAATTAAGTGGAACTCAATTATCCACTCAAGGCCTAGAGCTGGATACCAAACTGATGATGGTAGGCAAAAAAGAGAGCCTCGTTCCCTGACAATTTCATGAAGTCACCCTACCAGTCATGGATGGATTACTTCCAGATATACTTTACATGAAAAAGAAATAAACTCCTATCTTATACTATTGTTATGTTGACTTTTTTTTTTTTTACCATTTGCAGCCAAATCTCATTATCTCTTACACAACTACCCTGATCATTTTTGCTATTTTCTTGAGTTCTGTTTTTTCAAAAGTTTATAAAAATCATTAAATATCCTTTCCTAACATTTAAGAATATTCTGAAATGCTGACCAGACACTCTTTACATTTGTTTGAAAAAGTTTTTAATCTGATAAGTGGCATGGTAAAAACATCCTTATAAATACAACATTGCTTACCACAGAGTCTTAGTGGAATATCAGATGTATGATTGATATGTTGGCTAACCAAAGAGATCAACCAAAATTCTATTGAAAACAGTACTTACAGTGGTCAAGTCTTAGGCCAAGGCCATTTATCAAAGTGGAGGTTTGACTAAACCTGCAGAGATGCTAGCCATGGTCAGGAGAGAAAAATGGTTTCTCTTCCATCGAATCCAGACAAGTCATTGTGGGTACACAGAATATTAGAACAGAGTGCTGTGACATTCGCTTGTAGTTAATTGCATAAAGTTAAATAATTTAGTCTTTTATTGATAATTTATAATTTCTTAATTTTATGCTGAATTGCTTACACTGAGAACTCTAAGCCTAAAATTACTTATTTTCTTTTAACTGACATTTCTTGCATAGACAATGCCGTCCTAAAACACAAAAGGAATAATATAATTTTAGAACTATAAGTCATTTAGAATTCATTCATTCCAAACCTGACGTTTTGCAGATTGAATGATCCAAAGAGACTCTTGAACTTAACTAAATCTTTCTCAGTATAATTTTTTGTTCATTCACTGATTCATTCATTCATATATTAATCCATTTAATTACTATTTAATTATTATGCATAAAGCACTGGGTGTTGGAGCACAGAATAAGGCCCTAGCTTGCATATATTTTCAATTTAGTGGGGAAGAAATAAATTATTCAGGTGATTAAAATACAGTAGAAATTAAGGTGCTGTAAGTATTAGCACAGGTGAAGAACCACAGGAGAGAAAAGGAGGGAAAGAGCAAAGGGGTAACGAGCAAAGACTTTCTGGAGAAAGCTGCCTTGGGCGGCACCTGAGAGGATTTGAACAGGTGAGGACAGATGGAGTGGACATTTCAGACAAAAAAGGGTGACTTTCTCTTTAACTTGTAGAGTTATTTTCCATATGAAGGTTTTTTTCATATATTAAATTTAAATTACATTTGAATGAGAAAGTAAAATCAAACCATTCCTTAAGAAGCCAGAGGTGAGAGAATGGTGACTCTGTAAAGCTTGACATCATTGTTAACACTGCATTAAAAAGTGATATTTACCAAGGTACAAATGAATCTCCAAGAAGCTCCCCAATGGAAGGGACATGCTACCATACAGCATCTGGAGAAAATGAGTGTAGTATGGCTTAAAAACCAAGATCTATGAGCTACTGCTCATGAATGTCATAAATTAAGTGACTGAAAAAGATGTCAGTAATAAGTTAAACAGTAGGGTTTCAATTTACAAGTGAAAACCCAGACAAATGTGCAGTATCAAGGAAAATAACATTTCATTTTCCTTCATAATGCAATGAATTAAGCCGTCTAGGATTCACACATTCAATCAGAAAGTGTTTAAAATGCAAATGGCATTTAGAGAAAAGTGATGATGTCTGCAGAAGTTTTTACAAATAAATCTTTTTTTACATTATAATATATATGCAAATAGCCCCCCTTTTCTCACATTTGTGATTGGTTATGATTATGATTACGAGAGAGATCTAGGATTTAACGAGGCACTTTATCAGTAAGCAGTACTGATACCATATGCATATTCAAAGAATTTGGTTCACAACTTTTACAACAACTGTAAACTATAAATACAATTCTAGATAGGCTAAATATTCAGCTTTTCAGCTATATAAACTACTTACTGTCTTACACCAGTATTCCCCTACTGCTCCCCGTTTCACAACATGCTTTATAGTTCACCTGAAGTGCAATTTGCATTTTAGCTTTGTAAGTCTATAGGTAACCCACAGCCACTAACCTTGCTGTCTTCTGTCTCCTTCGTTTTTCCTTGGAGGAGTTTCTTCTCTTCAAATTCACAAGTTGAGTGTAATGTGAGCTGACAAGAAAGCATTGAGCTCTCTGTTTCAGTAAGTTCCAAAGGTCTTGAAGAACAGTGCTGTGACCCAGTAGTGCCAAGATTTGGTATCGGAAGAGCAGTATGAACAGGCTTTGACCCAACAGCTGGCTGCCTCAATTCTGAGGCAACCCCAAGTACAGGCATGGCTTCTATAAAAGTGTCTTCTTGCTGCCAAAGAAAATGCTTCTAACCTCAGTCTGGTAGACTCCAACTTTAGTATTTCCAGAACAAATACTTTAAACAAAACTAGCAGTCATCATGATTTAAAAAAAAAGCTAATAATATAACTCTCAAGAAGAGGCAAAATTCCCCTTCATCTTTAGCTAAGTATCTTTCTTTCTTGCTGGCTTGAATTTTCATATTCTCATTCTCTTATATATCCATTCTCTCTCTCTCTCTCTTCAGTCAGCCAGTGACCATGTAATATTAAATACTCCTCTGGGAAGTAAGCTTTTCTTGAAGGTAACTGCTACAAAGCTCTTTTTCTAGGATTAAAGAGCTCCTAGTTTTACTTTTTTTTTTTTTTTACCCCTCACTACAGCAATCTGAGTCTCAGCATTGCGAGTGAAAAAGAGGAGAACAAAAGCAAAGACCTTCAGTTCAAGTGTCAAAGCAGCCAAAAAGTCCACAATAGAGGAAGGACAGGCGTTCTTCCTGACTTCAGAAATAACCAGCCTACATTCTCTTTTTAAAGAAAATTGTATTTCTCCCAGCTTTAAAAAAGAAAAGAGAAAGAAAAAAAAAAGGACACGTTTAATGGCCAAAACAAACAGCTGCTGGAAGAACTTTTAGCCCGGAAACAATCTCAGCAATGAAGCTGTTTGTCTGATTTCCAGCTATTTTTCACTACTGACAGCCATAAACCACGGTGTGCATTCTGTTTCATCCCATGAAATCAGGTTAAATTCATGCAGTAGCAGCTAAAGCTGCTAAATGATTCAGCAGATTACGCCTGCCTAGGTTACAAAATATCGTAAATACAGAAATCAGGGCACCAGATACATAGTAATTGTTTTTAAATTTAATAATGGTGATAATAAAAGTATTTATACCTAATACATACGTGAAGAGTACTAGACGGCAGTTATGGGGCAAGCGCTTTATGCGTTGTCACACTTAATCAATGGAATGGCTCAAAAATAGGCATAATTCTTTTTCCCACTTTAAAGAAAGGATAACTCAGATTCATCTGAGTGATTTGACCAAAGTCATACAGTTAGAAAGTGGAAAGTCCTGCATCATTTAAAGAGTAATTTAAAAAATTATCTTAGAAGCAATTGAAAATAACATTATTATTCAAGCTCATTAAATCCAACTTAAAATCCTAAGCTTCTGAAAAGCGTTCAATGGTATACTCAATGACCATGAACAACAATGCTTCTATTTGTACAATTATTTTATGATAATCAGATCATGTCTCATTTCTGGTAAAAGCACATCAGGATCTATAACAAAAGCAAGGGGTAAGTTTTTAGGAAAACATGGGACAGCATTATTCTCTTTAAAGCAGTTGTATTTTGATAACAGAGAAATTTTTCCACCATTAAGTAAATATCATAGTTGAGATTTCAAAAGCAAATTTCTACCTAATAACAGGATGTTTTTGATTTTATATCCTTTATGTGGAAGAATTCTGTAAGACACCAATAGATTTACTCTTCTTTTTAAAAAACAAATTATATACATTATATTTATAAAATATTTTAAGAATCAGTAATATTGCAAGTAAAGTTCCTAGAAAAATGAATGGACATTTAGTATACATTCAAGAAATAGTGGTAATTATAAGAATAATAATTATTATTGTAGAAAATCTCTCTCTATAGTAAAGGAATTATTTTTTGTCTGTCATTTCCAGCTCTAAAATTATTATGTACTTTTAGGTAAGAAGGGGTAATTTACAGATAAAAGAGACAGTAATTGAAGTCAAATGTATTTCCTCTTTTGATAGAAGTATAGAAGAAATTCAAATACAAGTTAGAAACCTTACAAATTTTTTAAAAAAAGTAACCCAAGTGGGCTTTACAGAATGGGACAATAAGCCACAAATAAAACACTAGTGGGGATAAAGAAATGAAATGATCACTCTGAAAAGTATGTTACTTTATACTTTACAAATCATTTATCACACTTACTCTTCCAGAGACTATAAGATATTGCAAAGCAGGAGATGTTCAAGGAACTAAAATAGAGTTCCAATTATAATTTGAATTATAATTTGAGAAGATACACACATCTTGTAAGCCTCACACTGCAAACAAAATAGCATACCTAAAATAACAGGACTTGTGGGGAAACTAGGTTCTGGGAAGACCATTCAAAACATATGCAACTTTGGGAGCAGATCACTAGCAAAAATCATAGTGGTACTTTGGAGGATAATTTGGACCACCCAAGCAAGCAGCTCAGCTCAGAGTTAAAAACAAAAACAAAAAACAAAACAAAAAAATTGAATAGAAGTGCTGGCAATACTTTAATTAGAATTAGTGGAAAAAATCTAGTTGGAAGGCAAAGTCTGAGCCAAATGGTTTGCCACTGAAATGGGCACAGGGGGCAGTGCAATCTGCAAATATTTAAGTCATATAGGGGATTAATTTATATACACTACTATAAATAAAACAGATGACCAACAAGAAACAACTGTATAGCACAGGGAACTATATTCAATTTCCTGTAATAACCTATAATCCTATAATGGAAATGCATTCAAAAAGAATATATTTTATATACATACATACATATATATATATGTATATATCTGAATCACTTTGCCATATACCTGAAATTAACATAGCATTGTAAATAAACTATACTTCAATGAAAAAAAAGAGGGAAAAAGTCACATAAGACAAAGGCTATGCTCCTTTGGTAAGGAAGCCCTGGATAGAGAGATTTATTTTTTAGATTTTCTTAAAACTGAGCCAAAAGGGCACCTGTTGATTATATGGTATCAAAGTTGAGGCTTTCTTTTCCTACCCAAGGTTATATTTCTACTCTGATTGGTCTGTCTCCCTTGGCCTAACTTATATCACATAAAGCTACATAACTGCTACATTATAGCAATATAATTCTATTTACCAATTGTAAATAAGCTAATTGGTATTTCAAAAATATATGATGGACAAGAGCACACTGTAATTCCTGATACAACCAAAATGAAAAACAGTGTTCACATGGAATAAGGCACCTTTTCACTTTGAAATGCTTTTTGCTTATTAGACAATATCACTTCATTAGGGCTGAACATAGGATTGAACATAACTGTCACTGTTGATAGTCTATGAAATAACACCTACCACCAAGAGCAATAAAAACAAGTTAACTTATTACAGAGGATTTACCGTCATCCATTTCATCCCAAAAGTACAGCATCTTGAATAGGAGACAAAGGCCCTGAGAAGTAATTAGCATAAAGTCATAGAAAATGAGGTTTCTCAAACTGGGTTCAACAAATCACCACCTGGAGTGCTAACAAAACTATGGATTCCTGAATTCACCCCCAGCCTACAAAATAAGAACTGTGAGGCAGAGGGAGAAGTTTGATAACTAAATTTAAATAAATGGATTAATTCTCCTATACACTAAAATTTAAGATCTATGTTTTACGTGATTTGTAGCTTGACAATTGGAATGGACTCTAAAAAGCTTGACTACCTGTGGTCGAATCTTTGCTACCTTACTTACTAGTTGTATGAATTTGGCACTTGCTGTGCCTCGGTTTCATCTTTTATGAAGTTGGAAATAGAATTGTACTTTCTTTCAAAGAAGTAGCTGTGAAAATTAAACAAAATAAATGTATGAAATCATTAAAACTGAGTCTGCCGTATAAGTGCTCAATAAATGTTAGCTATTATGGTATAAGAAATATAGTGACCTTGAGAATTACTGAAGTAAGGTCAAGAGGCATAACTGAAGAGTTTGGCCAGATCATAAGAGTTAACAGAACTGAACTTGGGAAAACCCTAAAAATAAATTAATAGTCTTTTTTTTCCCCCATCAAATCTAACAGGAAAAGCAGCAATGGCTTCTAAAACACACTGCCTTCTAAAGCTAAAATTAAGTTGAAGGGTAGTAAGAGAATTCCAATCAGGCTAGATTTTAGTAACAGTGATTTTAAAAATAAATAATAAAACCTCAAGAAATGACAATCTGCTAACTATCATTTATTTGTAAGAGAGTGGAAAAGATAACCAGCTATCAGCACTATAAATACGCTTGCGAAAGGACAAAATACAGTTGGTAGTCAGCTCTGACGTTTGCTAAGATCTTATATTTAATGGCTAAATTGAAGTAAAATTTACACAGCATAAAAGTCAACAATTCTAATGAAATAGTTCAATGTCACCAGCATCATAATCAAAATGCAGACCCTTTCCTTCACCCTAAAAGCTCCTCTCATGCCCCTGTGCAGTCAATGTCCCACTCCCAACTCAGGCCACCCATGAAGTGCTTTCTGACACTACTTTTGTCTTTTCTAGTACATATTTAAGTGAAATCATGCAGTATATTGGTCTGACTTGCTTTCACATCACATGATATGTCTGAAATTTATCCATGTTATGTGTATCAATAATTCTTTCTTTTGTATGGCTGAGATATAGTTCATTGTATGGATATGATACAATCTGTTTATGCATTCACCAGTTGAAGGACATTCGAACTGTTCCCAGTTTCAGGATATATGAATAAAGCTCTATAAAAATATGCATATGGTCTGCGTTGATATTATTTTATTTTCTTATGGATAAATACCTAGGGGGGGATTGGTGGGTCATTTGAAAAGGATATGTTCAGTTGTATAAGAGACTTCAAAATTTTTTCCCAAAACATACCATTTCCAAAACATACCATCAGCAATGTATGAGAGTTTCAGTTGCTCCACATACTCTTCAATACTTCACACTGTCAGGCTTTAACTTTATCCATTTTAGTGAGGTGCAGTGGTCTATCACTGCAGTTTTAATTTGAATTTTTCTAGTAACTTACTGATGTGGTGTTTCTTTTCATCTGTTTACATGCCATGTAATCCATATATCATTGTTGACAGGTCTGTTCATAATGTTTGCCAATATTTTTATTTGTTTATTATTGAGTTTTAATAGCTCTTTATATTTTGGATACAAGTTCTTTCTCAGATATATTTTTGAAAACATTCTCACCTAGCGTGCAGACTGCCTTTTGTTGGGAGAAAATTCTCCCTCTATTTCTCACATTTCTGCTATTTTGTGGGCATATTTTATGCCTGACTATCTTTTCTGGGAGTCTGAATAGTAATAAGCCTTAGATGATGGAACTAAATAGCCTTGGAAGATAGAAACAGTGTTCCCTTCTGAAGCAAAGAGTAGGTTTATCTACTGTACATTTTAATAAAGATCAGTCTCCCTCGAGGAAAAAAAGTGATGCAAGTTTGCTTGCAACTAATTATAAGAGATTTGTGTTCCTCAGGCTCAAAATTCCTCTCTGGTAACACAATCCACTGCATATGCAGACATTACCTGGTCCTTACCACATTGTCCTGTAGAAATTGAGGCTAGAGAAACTTGCACAAGAACATATGATATTCTGGCTACTGCTGTTGCTGTAAGTAATAAACTGAATCTGGTCTTTAACAGAGGAGTCAAATGTCTTCTGCCAGCACCCATATATTACGAGTATATGCCAGGTCAACTTACTAGCTTGCAAACAG